AGGCGGGACTGACCCGCACTTTCCCGATATATATATATATATATATATATGAAGTTTTTCAAAAAAAGAAGGTGAAAATGGGGATTTTATGAACTTATAATTAATTTTTTATTTTGAATTGTATAATTGGAAGTAATTTTTTTTAATATATTATATTTGTATATTATGTGATTTTAATTCAAAATTTTTTATTTTAATTAAAATAAAATTACTTCTAAAGTATTTAAATTCATTAACAACTTATAATTTTTTTTTTCTAAATAACTAGTTATGTATTTAAAAATACAAAATTTTCAATATGTGTGTTTAAGAATGCATTTACTATTTCCTCTAAAAAAGAATGCATTTACTATAGTTTTTTTAATTAATTTATGTAAAAATATAAATATTGACTTTAATTTAATTAATTGATTAGTTAAAATTATTTATGTGACAATAACATTAAAATAAAAGTAAATTTTTGTTATTTTAAAAAAAATACATTATTGCCCTCTTAAAGAGCACAATTAAAAGAAATCCTTAAAAATATTTGTTTATTACATACTTTATAAGTTATACTCTTATTTTTAATAGTCAACTATATTTCTTCCATGTCATGACTTCTAATTATTTTTAAACATTTTGTTAAAAAAAAATGACATTTTGCTTTTTCCTTTCAATGGTGAGCCTGTCTAATTTTATGGGGTGCTTTTTTCAGTGGTTAGATTATGGTATGAATACCATTAAATGCATGACATTCACATTAAAATTAAAGAATTTATAATGAACTATCTTATTATTAATTTTTTAAAAGAATTTAGTTTTGATCAATAATATAGAAAAATAAATATTCTTACCAACTAAATTACTGTTCATTTGTTATTTTATAGACATGATATTATTTTAGTAAGGCTTGGGGCCAAGTGTATTGATAATCTTGAATTCGTTGTCCTGGACAAAAGAGGAATTCTCAACGGGCAGATTTTGATTTTGTTGCTAGAAACTAGGGATGCCAACGGAATCTCGCGAGGTCGGGGAGTCCGTCCCCATCACCGCGGAGATTTTTAACGAGAGTAGATTTTGCTTTTTTCTTCATTTCCCGCAGGGATTTCCATTCCCCACCAATTAATATTTAAATATATATTTTTTACATCAAACATAAATAAATATTAATTTAACATAAATAATTAAATTAATAAATTTGTTCCAAATATAAATAAAAATTAATCAAATATAAGCTGTTTGAATTGGTGGTAGAGCTTGAAATGATCGATCAACACTTTGTTCTTGTGTATTAGACATTTATCACTTAAAAATAAATTAAAAAAAAATAGTTATGCCTTTACATTGAAATATAAAATAAACTTTGAACTTTTCTCTTGTTAATGGAAATTCTTCCCTTTCACAACTTCAATGGCATTCACAGTAAACTCTAAAAATTAAATAGACAGCCAACCATTCACAGTCTTCTCAATTTCTTAATTTTACTGAGAAGCTACTACACTTTTTTATATTATATGTACATCAATATATGTAAAGAAATTAACTAGGCAATTTATTAATAGAAATGGCTATGAATCGTTAATGAATCTAGCAAATTTTAAAAAATCTAAATTTTTTCTATGTTAAATCAAGGAATATACCTATGCTTTGCCCTTCAACTTTTCTAGTTTAAGGGATTTTGCCCTTAAATTTATAAGTTAGGGTTATTCACCCTTTAACTTATTGGGTTTGAGGGTTTTTGCCCTTTGACCAAATATGTCACAGTCTTGACTACTATTAAGTTCAACTTTCATTTTTTGTTGAATCAACACTTTGGTCCCTAAATTTAATTGTGTTTTAGAACTAATTTTTATTTTATTTTGCTAAAAAAATTTTAATTTTTCTAGAGCTATTGCTCTTCAATATATCTTTCCCATGATAATTCATTGGTTTTATAAGGGATCATCTCTTTTAATATTTTAATCTTTGAGATTATATCCATTTGTTGTTCACAAAACTCTACTTCTCCTTCTAAGTACATTCTTAACATCATTGTGTTTTAATTCTTTTTTTGGCTCTGATACCAAAGATTGGGTTGGTTTTCGGAACCTAACTTAGACTACAAACTAATATGTAGTTGATATGTTAAGTTCAGGTGATTTATTAAATTGCTAGTAGAGATAGTCTTTGTTTAGCTTTTTTAAGTCTTTTTAAATCTTCGTTTAAATCTGCAGCTGCTTGCTTTAACTTTTTGAGATCTTTGGACATATAATAATCATCTATATCTTCAACATTACTTATTTTTAAAAAAAATATTCACTATTTTATTTCTATAATATTCGCATTACTGCTTATAAACTACTTTATCTACAATTATTTCTTGACTAAAATTAAACATTTTAAAGCATTACAAATAAGTTCTTGATACAAACTTTTCTATTTAAAATATAAGAGGTTGGGTACTATTTCCCTATTATTTCTAATCTCAAAGATAACTATGTCAAACAATAAAACGGATGTTTTTATGCCCACCTAGCTTTCGCATGATAAAAAGAATGAGTTAGAATTATACCTGAAAATTTCTTAGTCTAGCCTCTGGTCAAGCTGATGCCTCCTTAATTCAACCTTCAAAACCACACTTTGGCTACACAGGTATTTGAACAGGACTAGTGACCTCACTGCTGTCTAAGTATATTCAGAAATTCTTCTCATTATATTCTATGATGGAAATTAAAAAGGATAGAAGCATAATGATTATTCTAAAACATGATTTTATTTATGAGATGAGAAAGGGAAAGTTCCCTTTCCTCTTAAAAGGTGTTTTATAGATACATAGTAGAAGGCACTCAGGTAAGGTATTTGGGTAATCAAATGCCCGATACCTGTAACAGCTTATAGGAGGCTTTTTATAGTGCTCCTTAGAATCTTTTCTTTCATCATTGCTGATGATTATAGTTTACATTATTGTCTAGTGATCCAGACTTACTTCTTACTTTTGCTAAAGCAGACTACATGGAATCTTGCAGACACTCTTCTTTTTCTTTAGTGACATAAGCGTTTATTTCTTTTTGCATTGGATTCTTTAGAGGATGATGAGATCCTCTTCACTGTCTGAAGGGTTGGTTCCTTCATCACATGGGGCTTTAGCTTTTCCTTTTGCA